CCTTCCCGGTCACCGGACACTTGCGTCCACTCCTGACGTTCCAGTTCTTCGTCACGAACGTCTTGATATTGATCCACGATGTGTTGATCTCAGATGCCGAAAAGTTGGTCAGGGCGTGGACGACTTCAATCCCTTTGGCGGCAATGAACCGGTCCATTACGGGCGAAGCAGAGTCAATGTCCTCAGCAGTTGCATCATTGGACTCAATCGAGTATCGCTGACGCTTGGATTGACGGCGATCGTCAATGGCTGCAAGTGCATCCACTGTGTTGGAGATCGTCCGGGCAGAGGGGAGTCTCTTTGCTGCCGTCGTGGTGGTTTGGCTCGGCATGAACGAGGAGTAGTGGTTGGGCTTGGAAGATATGAAGCAAGTTGAGAAGTGATCGACCAAAACTCCAATCTACTGTGCATTCTAGAAAAGACAAGCTGGTCAAGACGATGGATAATCATTTTTCAAGTCGTGCATCGCCTAAAATTGATGATACACTCTTTGAAATGACGTGTCATTATGTGCCTAGTCAATAAAATTATAGGGGTGTGATATTGTACAAGTTTATACTAAATCTCTGTGATGACATCACTTCTTTCGCCACGAGGTCTACTGTTAATTGTAAATAAATATTTTACGACATTTTTATATAAGGTCAAATCCAGAGGAACCCTAAGCAAGTTTGGCAATGTCATAAGGATGACCACGAGTACAACTGCCAAGGCGTACGGTAGTTTTGTGTTTGTTTATTCATCATTACCTACTTTTAATGTGACGTTATAACATGAACGTGGCCACTATCGTTATATACTAGTCGTTATTAATACTACCGGTAGTGCCAGGTTGATTTATATTTTATTCGAGTATGCTTTTTACAGTTAAAAATATTACATCTTGAACTTTCAAATGTCAACCCCATCATCATGGCAAGTTTATATTGTTTCACGTTGACAACTATGTACTTTATTCTTGATCGCACGAAGCCACTCGATGTACTACTTACTATCCATACAGTACTCAATTATTATAACCCCAATATGCAGATACTATTAAATAGTATAAATCATCAGGTCATGCTTTAAATCACCACAGCAGAATTGAAAGTAGCGTTGGCCCGAGAAGCTAGTACACATCCGACTCCAACGCACTGCACTTGTCCACGCGGGCCGACACCACCCCCGACGTCAGCTTCGTAACCGCCCGGCGACGCTTCAAGTAGCACACCCCACCCAACCAACTGTACGCATTGCATACTTGGTTGCTATGGCACGCTGCGCAGCAGTCGGCCGGTTGGCCCGCCGAAACCTGCGCGATGTTTTTGCCCAGAAAATCCATGTTCCACTCGATGTTGCTGCACGACAGCGGTCCTGGTAAGGCTTGAAGTAGGCCAGCCTTGGCTCCAATGGCAGTCACCTTGGCCCCCTTGGTATGCTTGAGCCAGCACGTGCCGCCGTCGTCGTTGGACCACACGAACAGCTTACATCCCGGTGTGTTTTCACAGTCAGCACAACAGGATTCAGCAGTCGCCTGCTTGGTCGAAGCCAAGTCGCCGCCAATATAGTGCGTGTTGACTGCCAAGGTGCCACAAGCGGTTGAGGGTTTAGTCGGGTTGAGTACTCGAGCGGACTTGGAGCCTTCCTTGTACACAGAGACAACCGGTTCGTCGACAGCTTTGAGCCAGCAAGTGCCTCCGATGTCGTAGGTATAGTTGTCGTAGGTATAGGTAAACGCATTGCATTTTGGGGTGTTGTCGCATTCGTCGCAGCAGTCGTCGGAGCTTCGAAAGGGCAGTGCCTTGATATCCTCGCCAATGTAATCGGTATCGAGCATCCAAAGGGCACACTTGGGGGGCGGCGGGGGCAGAGTCGGGCAGGGGGTGCTGGGCGGAGCAGTCACAGCCTTGAAGACGTTCAAGCGGCCGTAGCCAAAGAGGTTGTTGGGGTATTGCGTGTTGGGAATGCCTCCGCAGGACTTGTCGGGCGGAGATAACGTGTTCGTGTCCACATTGTTGGTCAGGGCCGTGTACACTTGGTCGTACGTGGCGCCTTGGTTGGCGGACAAGTACAAGGCGATGGCTCCAGAAACATGAGGCGTAGCCATGCTCGTGCCAGATAGAAACGAAAAGCTTCCGTCATTGTCGCTTGTTGCGGAATAGATGTTGAGACCAGGAGCCGAAATGTCGGGTTTGAGGCGGTTCCTCACGGAAGGTCCTAAACTTGAACCACTCGCCAAAGCATCCGAGGAGCTAGTGGAACCGACAGCAATCACTTGAGGGTATGGAGCAGGATAATTCGAATACGCACAACCTTCAAATCCGTCGTTGCCGTTGTTAAAGACGGGAATGATTCCCGCACCTCTCCACGATGTAAGCAATCCTTCGATTCAAAATTTCGTGCCGTGCGCCCCCCAGCTGTTATTGATCACGTGAGGGGCCTTGCTACAGTCGGGGTTGTTGCCGTCTTTGTCGTGGGGGCAAAGCAGGAATTCGGCGCATTTCACCAGCATATGTTGCTGGCACACGTAGTTGCACCCCTTGCACGCAATCCACTTGGCATTCGGGGCGACACCAATACCTTGCGTTCCCACCATGGTGCCCATGACGTGAGTGCCGTGGCTCCACCGGTCGTTGGGCAGCTCCGTCTTATCGTACGGGTCGAACCAACCGTATTCACTTCGCCAGTTCGACTTCAACGCCTCGTGGGTATAGCGAACACCGGTGTCAATGTTGGCCACGACTACACCGTCGCCCTTGATGCCGTTGGCCCACAGCGCCGGGGCTTGGATCTTCTCTATCCCCCATTCGATGACGTCATTGACAGCACTGGCTGGTATGCCATCGCTTTTGGTTTCATCGAGTGCTATCACAACTGGCTCATCAATGGATTCGACTTCCGGCAATGCCGCGATCTTCTGCACGAGGTCGTCGGGGGCGTTGTCGATGTACATGGAACAGTCGATCCATGTCGTGGCCACTTCCACAGCCGTCGATTCAACTTGGTTGGCCAGGAGCGACTTGACCGACGCCTGGGACGTGTTGGTGTGCTCCTTCAACGAATCAACCAGCGACTCGATGGTTTCGGTGCGAGACGCGCCGGCCTTGAGTCGGCGGCGGTGGGTGTCGTGCGCCTCGTCACTGTAAAATTTTACCACGACGTTCGACTGCTTGGCGACTTCCAAGTTGCGATGTACTTGGACCGAGATCTTGGCCGTGACGGCGGTGGCGGCGGCGGCGAGGGCCACAAAATGGTACTGAACCATGATGTTGATGGGTCAATGGAAATTGCAAAATGAGACCAATGACTCTCGAGCTGGGTGTACCACGTGACTTGACTGTCGCGAAATATAGGTCAACTGGTGTGTGTACTATCTAGTACAATTCCCTCATTAAAATAATCCACTGTTGTTTTGACCCGAAATACTGTTTCGAAGAGATTTATAAGGAACTTTGTATGATCATACCACCTCACGTCTTACTAGGGGTTAAGTGCATCTCAGTGGATAGCGATGGCTAACCACTAGCGATGCAGTTAACCCTGGAGATTTAGCATCGTATGTACTCACCAGGGGAAGGACGGAGTCCCAGATTACAGTTCCGAATGTAATAATTCTCTCATTGAAACAGTATTTCGGGTCAAAACAAGTGAATTATTCGTACTATCTACAATATGCAGTCAAACACGAACCATTAGTACGAGCTTTAGTTAGTACCGGTAGTATACTGTAATTTGTGTGTCGCAATTTTGGAAGTGACAGATTGGTGGCGTGTCAACAATTGATGTACTGTATTTCCTGACCTGGTCACTACTGTAAAGTACCACGTAGTAGTAATAGTACTACTGTACCAGTACTATTAATAGTGTAGTACTGACAGCATTGAATATTAATACCAAGACCAAGCTTAAATACTATGATTAATAGAATATAATTGTTGAACTAATAGCGTGGATGATGTGGATGACTTTGTGGGAACAATGAAACCTAAAGTAGTGACCAAGCCTTCATTTGGGCCCGAGTGCCCGGGAGGCCGTCTGCGCAAGCGTGGCCGTACGAGAGCGCGGATCTAAGCTTCTCACTTCACCGAATCTATCTTTTCTTCATGTCGGGCAGCGGCAGGTAGGCAGTAGGCCGTGCCGCACCTGGACGAGGCCTGTACTGTATGCAATGACCTAGTACTATCCTAATTTACTCTCATCTCTCTCTACAAATTAGGATATGACCTAATATTAATGTTGGATGACGTTGGGATGACGCATGATACTATCACAGATATTTGAAATCCATATGAATACTTCGAATTATTTATATGGATTTCAAATATCCGTGATAGATCATTCGGTGAAGTGAGAAGCTTAGATCCGCGCTCTCGTACGGCCGCGCTTGCGCAGACGGCCTCCCGGGCGCTCGGGGCCAACGTAAGGCTTGGTCACTACTTTAGGTTTCATCCCACAGCTTCATCCAATTTTATCCAATTGTCATCCAAATTTCATCCACATGTCATCCATGCTTTTAATTCAACAATTATATTATATTAACCATAGTATCCAAGGTTGGTATTAATATTCAATGCTGTCCCGTAAGTCTTAAGTATATATCAGGTCATGGATTGTCGCATATGTATGGATCACAAACAATGACCTCGGTACATGTATAAGAGTTTAGGTAATGGTATGGCGAATAATTCCCTCATTAACTAAACAGTTCACTGTTATTTTGACCCGAAATACTGTTTCAATGATAGAATTATTACATTCCGGATACACCTTTTCACCAGTAGCCCTGTAACCTGGGACTCCATCCTACCCCCGATGAGTACATACGATACTAAATCTCCGGGGTTAACTGCATCGCTAGTGGTTAGCCATCGCTAACCACTGAGATGCACTTAACCCCTAATAAGTGGTGAGGTGGTCTGACCATACAAAGTTCCTTATAAATCTCATTGAAAGAGTATTTCGGGTCAAAACAACAGTGGAACTTTTTTAATGAGGGAATTGAACTGGTATGGCCCGTTTTAACGAAACATTGAGAAACGAACTTTAACCAGCGGATTAACTAACGTTACTTGGAAGCAGAAAAAGTCCAACTTGATTGGAGTATCGTAATTGTCTGCATGATTCCGCATAAGACCCTCATGATTACGTATAAACCGTATAGCGCACTAGTATACTACAAAAGTACTCAGTATAGGTTTGTATAAGTATTTTGGTAATGTGATGGCCCTGTCAAGTTGTAGGAAACAGGAGGTAGGCGTAGGTGATAGGCGTGTAGCAACTTTGCGCAGATTGTCCAAAGCAAACCAAATGTGCAGGACAGGGGAAAACGGAAAGTGAGATTCAGTTGTTCACAGATTACCTGGCTTCGTTCCTATTCGCTAAAACTCAGCCAAAGGGAAACACTGACATGTGAGAATCAGCGCTCTTTTCCTTGTGCTAGAGCCGTGTTTGGGTGAGCAATCACTAGGGTAGTGAAAGGTATACAGAACAAGCATGTATACAGTGCTGGCAATAAGTTTATAGCCATCCCAAAAAATTGGAGTATCAGAACACCATGAACGAATGTGCAAAAACATTGAATGAGCTTGGATCGCGTGGGAATGATGTTGAATTGCTTGCCCTTTCAAAAGTATATTCAAATATGTGACTTTTGTGAGTGAAGTGAATATTTGCCCTTGCGATCAAGTTTTGCCCAATTTCGTCCCAAGCCTTGGAAATGACAGCAACCAGATCGTTTTTTGAACACCCCACCTGTTCTTGATCGGATTTAGGTCCGGCGACTTCGCTGGCCACTCCAAAACGCACACGCAATTCCACGTTAAGAAACACTTTTGGTCTCTCGAGACGCATGGATCGAGGCGTTGTCTTGCTGTAGGGAAACAAATAGTCAGACAAGGTACCGATGTAGGCGCAACTATCCTGCGAGCTGGAGCCGAAAAATGGGTACGCCTTTGAACGGGCAGTAGGGCTCACAAATAGAGCAGAAAGCAGACACACGCCACCATGAGCCATGAATTTCCGCGAAAAAGGCGTGTGGGTAGGTAGTGAATGTTGAGGAGTGAAAGGTGCAAGTAGGTGAAGTGGTAGGTGTTTGAGAAAGGAGATGTAAATGAATGAGGCAAAGAGAAATTTTACTTGGTAGGCGGAGTAAGAGAGGAAAGAAAGAAGAAATGTAGTTGGTAGGCGTAGTAAGAGAGAAAAGAATGCAGTAAGGTAGGCGAAGAGGAGGGAAGTAAGAAAGAAAGATAGATGGTAGGCATAGAAGGAGAACTAGAAGACTTGGTAGGTGTGAAGTGATAGAGGAGAGAGAAAAGGCTAAAAGAGGGAGGTAATAGGCGAAAGAAATATTAGGCGAAAAAATGGTAGCGGGGGTAGGCGAAAAAAAGGAAAAGAATAGGTAGGGGGTAGGCGAAAAACCAATTGGGGTGTAGGCGACGATAGGCGCAGACGAAGAGAAGAAAAGGGAGTTGAGTTGGATAGGTGTGGAGTCGTGAATGTAACATGAAAAATGTATTGATAGGCGTTTGAGATCAGAAATGACAGAGAGGCGTGATCGGAGGTCATCAAAGGCGGGTGCCGGAAGAGGTTTGGTGAAAAATTCCGCAAGTTGGTTGCCAGAGCTGCACCACTTGAGCTGGAAAATTCACCAGAATCCACGAGGTCGCGAACAAACAAGTATCGAACGTCGATGTGCTTTGAACGGCCGTGTAGTTCGGCGTTGGTAGCGATCTGGATGGTCGACCGATTGTCTTCGTGGACAAGGGCGGGTTGGTCGGACGTTTGCTGGAGTTCAGAGGCGAGTTGACGTAGCTAGAGTAGTTCTTGAATACATAAGGCGAGGGCGACGAACTCAGCTTCTGTGGTGGACAAGGTGACGAGGGGTTGCTTCTTGGCGAGCCACAACAAGGGTGAGCCGAAGAAGAGAGTGAAAAATCCACTGATACACCTTTGAGTGTCAACACGCATAGCATAGTTCGCGTCAACGTAGGCGGATAGAAAAGGAAAGTCGTCGACGGAGGCGATGCAACCAAGGCGGATTCCATAGGTGTGGGTGCCTTTGTGATAGCGAAGGGCACGCTGGACGGTAGACCAATGGAGTGGGCCAGGATTGTGGCGGAATTGACTAAATTCTTGGAGAGTGTAGGCGAGATCTGGACGAGTGTCCATGGCTAAGTACATGAAGCTGGAATAAGTAGGTCATCCACGTTGAGGCTCACAGTGGTGAAACCGGAGGCGTCGGACTTGATGAAGTCCCAGCGGTCCTTGTGTAGGCGGGTGTACTTTTGGGATGTCATGTAGTCAACGAAGGTCTAGTGCTATAGGTTAGGGGCTTGTTTGAGGCCGTAGAGGCTGCGTTTTAGTCGACAGCCAAGTCGCTGCGGGAGACGTCGGTTACGAAGTCGCCAGGCGGCTGCTCCATGAAGACGACTCGATCCATGGTCCCGTTTAGAGAAGTGGTCTTCACGTCCATTTGATGACACTCGAGGTCGTAGATAGCCACCATAATGAAGTGGAATCGAAGGACTTCCGGGCGACGACAGGCGCAAAAAAAAATGTCGTCGTAGTCAACGCCTTCACGTTGCAGAAATCCTTTGATACCTAGGCGTGCTTTGTAAGTGCCGTTGGGCTTGATGCGGAAAACCCATCGACAGGGCAGGATTGTCATCGTTTTTAGGCGTGGAACAAGTTTGTAGATCTTGCTGTCTTATAGGGACTGGAATTCGTCTTTTGCGACGACTCGCCATTTGTCGCGGTCGGAACGGAACATGGCATTCTGCCAGTTTTTAGGATCAGAGGAATCAGAGGGCAGGCGGGCACTGAGTAAGGCGTAGAGATGCCATGGCGGGTAAAGTGGTGGATCGAGTGGCTGTGTAGGCGCCGAGAGGGCGGGAAAGGGTAGGAGTAAGTCGGTGGTGGAAGGGCAGCAAGATCGTAAATGGAAATGTCGATGAATGGTAAGTGGGAGGCGGAGAGACAGAATGGAGTTCCTAGTAGTGTAGGCGACGGAGTGGTTCGGCGGTGATGCTGGGCAAGTAGGGCGGTAGGCGGATGGAATAGTGGATTGCGATATGGTAGAGCAAGTTGGAGTTCGTCGAAGGCGGTAGACAGGGAGTAAACGTAGGGTGGAGACAGTCGTTCAGTGGTAGGTGGTGGAGGAGATGGAGGAAGCGGAGGAAAGAAGGTCGGATCGAGGCGGCAGAGGTTCATGAGGGTTAATGGAAGGAGTGTGGGATGCGTCACGGGCGCGAAGTCGAAATGATGCTGCGGCTTGGATGGTGTTTGTGGGCGGAAATTCGTCTTCGTGGAAAACGAAGTCACGTGAGTAGATGAGTTGGTGGGAGTAGGCGTTGAGTAGCTTCTAGTCTTTGAGGTCAACGGGTAGGCCCACAAACATGCACTTAATAGCAAGCGCGTCAAGTTTGTTTGTTTGGTTAGCCTTTTGGACATGAACGAAGGCGGTGCAGCCAAAGGTGCGGATGTACGCGAGAGGAGGATGCCGGGAGAACACTCGATGATAAGGCGACTGGCCATCGTTGGAGGTTGAAGGCGATATGTTGTAAAGCCAGGCAGAGTAGATGATGGCTTCGGCCCACAGGAACTTGGGGAGCTTGTCGGCCAGTAGGAGCGCTCACATTTTCATGACAAGTAGGTCAATGCGGCGTTCGGTCACGGCGTTCTAAGCAGGCGAGTAGGCGTTGGAAAATATGGTATTGGTAGAGTACTTGGGTCCGACGATGCGACCGAATTTCTTGGCGTTATCGGCTTGTAGATTACCGATATCAGTAGGCGGAAGGTGCTGGAGGGTGTTGATGCCGGACTTGAAGGTTGTAATGGCTAGGAGGCGAAAGTGTTCGTAGGCGTCGTCCCACTCCCTCCCGCCTCTTCCAAAGTGGACAACTCTCTGCTGCCTCCACTCCATGCCTACCGTATTTCACCCTCCGCGCACACCTCCCATTTATTACAAGCACTCTACTCGACCCCCCACGCCTGCCAATTATGTTGACCCGCCTGCGCGACAATTACCAGTACGCCTCAACCGTCGAGAACGCCTTTAGTGCCTTTAGTGAACCTCCGCCTCCCCGTGCTGCTCATCCTTACTACTCTTCCGATGGGGCCCAATTCACGATATCGCCTACCGTCAGATGGTTACCATTACCGCTGACGCCTTTCATCAACTTTCCTATGACAAGTGCGTCGCCTATCATCTTTTCAAGCTTCAAACTGATCTCCCTCCCAAAGAGCGACCACCACCTATCCCGCTCATCAAGGATAATCTCCAACTCAAAGACTACCTAGCCAACCCTACGCCTCCCACAATGACCCACTTTCCTTTTTACGTTGGAATCACCCGAGAGCATAAGGTGGAGGACGCGTCGGTGTGGTTGAGGTAGTCGGAATTGATGACTTGGTAGTTGAGAGGTGGGTTTGGAAAGGCATTGTCGCTTCGCAGGTGGTGTCGAAGAAAGGCGGAGGAAGGATGAAAAATTTGGGACGTGTTCCATCCAGCAGTGGCGGATGGACATGGTGGAGAGGCTCCACCACGTCGTCGTGGAAATGATGAACGAGCACGACGGGTGAGTGACGACGCCTGACGTCACCCCTTTCTACCTTGTCATCTACCAGCTACTATCACTCCAGTCGTAGGCGCCCCAAACCTCCTCCAACATCCGCCTATCCTCGCCTTTCGTCACCCACCCATCGTGCTCGTTCATCGCCTCCACGACGACGCGCCTCTCCACCACGTCCATACGCCACTGCTGGATGGAACACGTCCCAAACTTTGCGCGTGAAGTCCTGTTCCAGGCGTTTCACTTGGACTTTGGCTTGGCTGATAGTGTAGGCGTCGGTTTCGATGCGCGGGTGGCAGTAGGTCTCGTAGGTGTAGAGGGAGAAGAAACCTGTGGTCACGGCGGCTTGTTTGAAAGTGGTGCGCCACACAGCATAGAACTTGTAGGCATTGTCGAGGAGAATTCCAGGGTAGGCTCTAATGGTCGAAGCAGGAGAGCTCATAACCTGTCACGATGTAGGAAACAGGAGGTAGGGATAGGCGTGTAGCAACTTTGCGCAGATTGTCCAAGACAAACCAAGTGTGCAGGACAGGGGAAAACGGAAAGTGAGATTCATTTGTTCACAGACTACCTGGCTTCGTTCCTATTGGCTAAACACACAGCCAAAGGGAAACACTGACGTGTGAGAATCAGCGCTCTTTTCCTACTAGGGTAGGGTTGTGACATGAAAGATATACAGAACAAGCATGTATAAAGCGGAGGAATTCCCCATCAGCAGGGGCTGTTCTCGGGGAATTTGAAAATCGCCGGATAAACATCCGGATACGTACATTCTTCCACAGATAAGACCGTTGGAAACCAACGACTTTTGCCACGAGTCACTTTTCAAAATGACTTCATGTGGTCGCCTCAAGTGCATGGTGAATGGCTGTGGCGTTGTCGTGTGGTACACCTACTTCAAGGTGCACATGACCAAGGACCACCCGGAGATACCCCAATACCGCAATATCCGTAAGCAGTACGGCCGCCAAGTCGATGCGAACGACAAGGTGCTTGAGGACGAGGGCTTCGCAGATTTGCACCCTGACGACGTACCATTGTTGAAAAGTGTCCTCAAGTATCGTCTGGAAGGTGAAACGACAGTGCGCTTGCTGTTGGCACTTTGTCGTAAGAGTGGTAGTGATCCTAAGGCACTCCTCCAACCCATGATTACCCAGCATTAGGCGGACGAGGACTACGCATTTTCGCCGACGACAACCCCTGTATCGTTGCCCTCGTCCACCCCTGTTCCACCTCTTACGGCTACTGTTGCAACCATACCTGCATCCAGCATTCCGTCGACTCCAGTTGTTGCTCCTACTCCCCCTTCGAAAGGCACAGACCCGAAAGAATTTCGACGGCTTAACAGACTGAAAAAATGTTGTCATAAACGCTTTATAAGTGGAATGTATTCATGTTGAAGTGTTAACTGTGAAATGTTTTGTACTTCGTAATTGTAGAAATAATAGAAGTTACGTTATTTTTAGAGATTACAAAGGGTATGTAAGTTATTTATATACTTATACTTTTTATTCGTTACTGTAGAAGTTATTGAAGTTATTTATATACTTCTACTTCTACTATTCGTTACAGAGAAGTTATTGAAGTTATTGAACTTCAATTTATAATACTACTTCTTGAAGTTTTTTAAATTAAAGAAGCTATTGAACTTACATTTGTTACACAAGTTATACTATAACTTTATTAACATGTAAGTACTCAAAGAACTCAACTTCACTTTTAGTTTTGCATTCCATTAGACTTCTTACACCGTTTTGGCTTCGGACCGGGCTTGGATGGGTTCACATCAACTCCACACGCACGTGGCGCTTGTGAAAGTGGGTCGTGGGTAAGATCTTGGGGTGGGATTGGAACGATGTGTCCTGAGTATATCAACTTGAAACG